TTTTGTTTTCCTTGCAATTCAATAGGAGTGTTATGCTTCTGTTACGCTTATTTTAAAATTGAGAAAGTAAAAATATGTTGTACTAAAATGGCGTCAGTTAAGATACCTTTTCCTTCAGCAGGTGTGGGAAAGCGTGCATGGATGTAGAAGTTTAACATCCTGTGTCCACACCACAGGATGTTGCATATTTCCGTATCCACTACTATACATAAATAGGCCTACACTTCTCATACTTTGCCCAGGTCTCCTTCCGTTCTTACCAATATCCTTGTCCAGAAGGTTTCCGTTTTCTTCTTGTTCGATTCTTTTCACTCATTCCATCTCTTTTTTCCCCCAGTTTATTTTCTTCGGGGTTCTTTTCTTGTCTTGTAAATTGAACGTTATTTAGGGTCGTCTTGTCGGCGGCCAATGGGACCGCTGCTGTTAGGAAAGGTGCACATGCCTGCTAGAAGGCCAGGTGATACGCGAGCAACCTGGCTGCCCCGATGGATGGATGGCACGCACTCGCTAGGTTCCTTCTGCTTCGCACCTGGCACTTTTTATCTCGGGCCAACAGTCTGCTGCAATATGTACACGCGTTTCATAACGAAAACAAAGAGTACCCTACTTTGATATTTACGTTTGACTAACTGTAAAGTGGACTATACATTTTCAAACTCAACGGCCAGGTTTTACTTCATTTTTTGCAGAAACGAGCTTTTTTTATCACATAATAGATAAGCTACAGTTTACTTCCTATTACATTTAGTTCTTTTTTTAAGTTCGAAAAGCTCAATCTGTTCCATTTTGAGTAACTCAAGCATAATTTTTGCTTTGTTTTCTTAAGATAATATTTATCAGTCATACTTTATTATAATATTCTTTAATGTAAGTTAGTCTCAGTAAATGTAGCTAAAAATGATTAGTTTTTATGCATCTGAGCAAAGCTTATTACTAGTATTTCTGACATTCCTCGCGCTAAGGTGGAGGTCTGCACGGGCTCGGGCCTTCTCCAGAAGTAGTTCTAGGTAACACCTTACAAACTCGATATCCGACATGTTTTTATTTTTCCTCAAACGCCAAAATAACCCGGCCGGGTAAAATTCTAAAATGTCGGCCCTTAACAGTTTGAGTTACGGGAAGTTTTCCGTTCTTGTACACCGAGTAACGCTGTGGCAACAGAACCCAAGTTCGAACACCAGAGCGCGCTGCTAGGCATTTTCAGCCATCGCTTACTCTTAAAACCAATCTTCCTCTCACCTCCTTTTTTGGTCTTCCAAGTGGACATTTTTAAAAACCGGACGTCTCGGAGATGGTTTAAATCTCGGCCTTGAGACCGGCTGTTCTGACAGGTTTTTCGTGGTTTCTCTCAGTCCCTCCACGAGTATTCTGGGGGTAATTAATTAAATTAGGCAACGACCACTTCCTTCCATTTACGATTTCTTACTCACCACATTATTTGACGTTATACGGTCTGACTGCGTAGTTACATACAGGAATCATATTTCCTATAACTTTGTTTCGTGCTCTCGAAAGTTTTTGTATGCCCTTACCCAGCAAGTGTGTTCTCTGATCTGTTACCTATTAACAATGTTCTAGAATTTAACTGTCTACGTATAACTATGTATGAGGGATATGTTATAGGAACAACAAAAATAAGAAAAATGTTTTACACGAAGCGTAAGATAGGAATAACTATGATAGAGAAGATGGCTGTCTTCTTAGTTGTTGCGTCGTGTTATCTTGTATAAGTTTACACTGCGTAACAAACCAGAAGACAGACTTCTTCATACACGTCACCGTGTGAACCTCAAATCTCATTGTTACAGATAAGACCAAGATGTTTACAATAGTGGAAAGGTTAGGAAGTCATGTGTTCGATTAAGTGCAACGGCTTAAGATGCAACTTGTGCTTAAAATCGTATACTAGCAACTATTGGACTACCATGTCAGAATATTAACAGTATTTCTTGTTTCATTGATAAACACGCCATTCCTTGTGTCATGAGTTCATTAACCAAAAGCCTGTTTCGCTTTGTTCAACTTCCGTTATTTTTCTTGACAACAGTCTGATAACGTTGTTATTTTGAAACACAACTCAGTTAACGGGTTTTTGTTTTTGTTTTTGTCTTTTATTTCCGCGTCTGACTGTACTGCGGACGCATGATAAAGAATTTGAATCTTATATGATGTGAAGCTTTCACGGCGGCTTTCATTAATAAAGTCTTCTCTGGCTATCAGCCGTGTTAGTTGGCGATTGATCAACTAACACCGCTGATAGCCCGAGAAGACTTAATTAATTTGAATCTTGTCTACGCTGTAAACGCACGTACAGTCTAGAGCTAGGTTACAGTTTCACGATTGCACTTTCGTGTGTTTCTTCTGGAGTAATGCAAGACATAAGTCGGGGAATATGAGTCTTAGTAAGTCTTCTTCATCTGCTCTGTACAATGAACCATTAACGAGCATCGTGTCTGTCCGACCGTAAGTTGCGTTTCGAATATCGACATTTTGAACACTAATTAATCCTTTTTTTCGTGAAAAAACTATTTAAACTGATTGCCATTGAAAATGTTGATACGTTTTAACATATTAACATTGACAGTACCAATATGATGACCAGCGCCATTCAAAAGTTTTGTGTATGAAAGAACTTAACATAATATCCAACATTTACTGGAAAAGTTATGACTGGGGAAAACGTCGAAACACGATTTTCTGTTAAAATACGAACTACAGGCCGTGCCCAGCGTCATGACTTTCGGAGCCGTGGAAAGTGAAATGTTTTAACGAATCAGCGTTGATCGACGTTTCCCTAATCAATTTCGGCGAGCTCTTTGCATCTAAGTCGCTGCATTATTTAGCAGTTCTGCTCAGAATCTGTTTGTTGGGCGCTAACATTGTGGAAAGTTTTTTTGTATTTTAGTGGAAATTTGTGTATTTATTCCTATTGGTTTTCATTTCAGAATGAAGCATAGGCCTACATTTATATTACATTCGTACAGATGTATATGTTATTACAAAATATTTCTAACATTTATATTTAATTTCGTTATCAAGAATTTACCGCGAGATATAATCGTTGTATAAAGTAAAATTTGTACATGCCTGTGTCGTCGACTCGCAACCGACAGGTCGCCCAGGACTGTGGCGAAATAAATTATTCCTATATTAAGATGTAATGACACAAGCCAGAATTAGAGTATTTTTTCCTTTTGAAATAAAGACACAAAAAAGAAAATATTTATTCTAAAGTGTGTTACAGACCATCAAATTGGTTAAAACTTATGCTTTAATTCTGGCCACAAAATAAAATGTTTATTCTGAAAACAAACTTATTTTGTTTCCTTTAAAAACAGGAGACGAAGACAACCATTACATATAGTTAGTTCCTTAGTAAGTCATTTCCTTTATTTTAAGTATTTCTTTAAGAGAGGGGCATATATTTTCCTTTTAGGGTGTTGTCAGTCTTCTTCAATTTCCGTCATTGCTTTAGAATAAGAAAACGACTTATAACCATCAAAACAATGGGCAAAATATGTTTTATTTTAGCATTTGATTTTATAAATATATGATTTAATTGCTTGTGAACTTAATGCTAATAATTTGTCCAGTAACCATGCTGTTCCTGCCCCACGATCTTATGGTTCCAATTTTGTAACAAGACACCGAATGCATCGTGTGGGACCGTAAAATGTCTTCCTCTTCTTCTTTGTCAAGTTGCTTACATCTCATAAGAATCTTGGCCTATTTGAGGATTTCCAGAATGTTGGACTTTTCGGTAAGACTTCTTGAACGGGAACCAACTCCTTGTAATGCCTATATCTACAGAACCTACGCGGACATTTGTAGTCGGCATTGTATTACCCCCTGGTGGCTTATCTCAGCCTCGTGTCTCTGATAGCCAATTGGTTTCTTTGTATCAAGTGGATACTTTTACGTTGGTTCGTATGTACTCATGCTGCTTCTACACGTTTCGTTATCATTGAAGTTTGTCCATTAATCTCAATTTCAAGCACGTATGCAAATTTTTCGATCAATATATTATGTATGTGTAATCACTAAGGTTCGTACTGGAAAATGGAAATTAAAGTAATGTAAATATTCGTCACGTGGTAAAATAATTACTAATGTTGGCAGTGTGTAACTGACAAGTTCATTTACATTAGGCCTCTATTGTGATTTTTTTCTATGCAACATTGAAATGGAAAGGAAATTAGTGTTGCAGTTACGAGAGTATGGAAATCATAAATATAAACAAATAAATTAATTAAATATAGGGTATATTTTTATTTCTGCTCTTGTAATACTTAATACACTGATGTTCTAGTGCAGTGGTGATCAACCTGGGGTACGCGTACCCCCGGGGGTACGCGAAGACATCTTAAGGGGTACGTGAAATTTAAAAATATATATTATTTTATGATAAACACTGAATAATCAGTAATGTAATTTATTTAATTTATTTTAGATGTAGATTATATACTATGTATAACTTAAATTATACACCAACAATTTTCGGGGTACAAAGTTGAAGAGAAATTATATTTGGGGGTACGCCAACAAAAAAGGTTGAATACCTCTGTTCTAGTGCACAGACTTCTGAGTTTTTACTAAATTCTTCAGAGGGTAAGTTGTATAGTAAGTAACAATAACCTACCCTTCAGACACTGAATGTTCCAAATAATATTTAGAGGGTGGTATTAAACAGATACTTTTATCTGGAGGTAAATAGGGAAAACAAAGGTAAAACGTATGGTGGCGAAAGAAATACCAAAAACTAGCCGTCCCCAAGCTTAGGCTATACAGAGACTGATCCATTTGACTCAGCACAGTTGTCTTTGGATGTAGGCAATGTTACAATCGCAATACAAGGCACAGTCAGACTCGTTTGCCGGTCCCTGTTGAGTTCAGAGCAATTTTCCTTTCGTGCTAGGCGCAAGTTTCTTGAAATTAAAACTGGATATAAAATCAAAGTAAAATAATGTTATCATTATATTTGTAAATTTCTTGTACAGGTTAAGTAGTATCTTTGTTCTTTGATAGTTGGAACTGTGAGTCACATTCACTTTCCCTTTGAAGATTTCAAGGCCAGCAGGTCCGATGTTCTCGTCCTAATTCAGCCACTGAATTAACACAGGACGGACGGTACCAATTCCAAGATCTCGACGAATCGACGGTGAGTAATAAAAACATTTTGTGATGAAGCTCATGACAGTAATGCAGATGTGAGAATATTTCATTGCAAGTAGCAGAAAAAACATTTTTGTTGCCACAGTTTCTGGGAAGGTCCAGGGAAATGTTTTAGAAATATGAAAGGCAATTAATGGAGGCACAGCGCAGAAATCCTTCAGTTGCTATTTTCACTCTGTAGCACAAAAGGACGAAGAAAGGGATTAGTAATAAGATGTAAACTATTTTGAATTGGAGGCCAGACCCTTTGCCGTTATAGAAGTTTATAGTTTTTAACATTCAAACAGAGAGGTATTAGTGGCCTATCC